TCAACAGGGTATTGTTAAACAGGATGAAGGACTGCGTAGACGCCCAATTTCGTGACCAACAGGCAGGATTCCGTAAGTATAGATCGTGTACAGACCAAATCGCAACTCTACGGATCACTGTGGAACAATCAATTGAATGGAATTCATCACTCTACATCAACTTCATTGACTACGAAAAAGCATTTGATAGCGTGGACAGAACAACACTATGGAAACTTCTTCGACACTACGGCGTGCCTCAGAAGATAGTCAATATCATACAAAATTCATATGCTGGATTACACTGCGAAATCGTGCATGGAGGACAGTTGACAAAGTCGTTCGAAGTGAAGACCGGTGTCAGGCAAGATTGTTTACTCTCACCCTTTCTCTTTCTCCTGGTGGTCAACTGAATCATGAAGACATCAACATCTGAGGGGAAACACAGGATACAGTGGACATCCAGCATGCAGCTAGACGATCTAGACTTCGCAGATGACCTGGCCCTTCTATCCCAAACGCAATAACAGATGCAGGAGAAGACGAACAGTGTGGCAGCAGCCTCAGCAGCAGTAGGTCTCAATATATACAAAGGGAAAAGCAAGGTTCTCCGATACAACACAGCATGCACCAGTCCAATCACAATTGACGGAGAAGATTTGGAAGATGTAAAAACCTTTACATATTTGGGTAGCATCATTGATGAACAGGGTGGATCTGATGCAGATGTGAAGGCGCGGATCGGCAAAGCAAGAGCAGCATATTTACAACTTCGAAACATCTGGAACTCAAAACAACTGTCAACCAACACCAAGGTCAGGATTTTCAATACAAATGTCAAGACAGTTCTACTGTATGACGCAGAAACCTGGAGAACTACGAAAGCCATCATCCAGAAGATACAGGTGTTTAATAACAGTTGTCTACGCAAAATACTTCGGATTCGCTGGCCGGATACTATTAGCAATAACCAACTGTGGGAGAGAACAAACCAGATCCCAGAGGAGGAAGAAGTCAGGAAGAAGCACTAGAAGTGGATAGGACACGCACTGAGGAGAGCACCCAACTGCGTCACAAGACAAGCCCTCACATGGAATCCTCAAGGCGAAAGGAAAAGAGGAAGACCAAAGAACACATTACGCCGGGAAATGAAAATAGACATGAGAAAAATGAACAAGAATTGGATGGAACTAGAAAAGAAGGCCCAGGACATAGTGGGTTGGAGAATGCTGATCTGCGGCCTATGCTCCATTAGGAGTAACAGGAGTAAGTAAGTAAGTAAGTATCATTTTTGAATTGTTCATTAACTTGGAACAGATAATCAGAACATAGTTACACGGCTCCACAATATCAATCTTTTAAAGCCATTATTTATCGTCGTAAACAATTCGTCTATCTATTCAAAACTCTCACAATATTTGCAATATGATTCATTTGGTATTGTTTGCTTGAATCTTCTCATTGCTGTTTAGGACTGTAATTGATCAGTCTCTTATTGACATATGTTCATCTTATGCGGATTGCCTCAATGTTACTTTAATTCACATGCATTATAAGCAGAGATGGACCGACTGATGCTTGTGTCTTAAAGTAATACAGAGACAGTCCGCATAAGATGCACATGTGCCAATAAGAGACTGATCATTTACAGTCCTAAACAGCAATGGGAAGATTCAAGTAAAAAATTCCAAATGAATTTAGATTTCGCCCCGTTTCACATGCAAGTAATTACACGATAACTGTTGATATACGGGGTTGTAGAGACTGGTTATTTTTTGATGTGACCAATTAATAAACAACTAATTCCATTTATTTTACTGTTTACATTAAAAATTGTTAAAGAACTGTCTATACTGATAATCTTATTCATCAAATCGTATAGTCGCATTAAGCTCATATGATTCGGAATAATCAACTTCGTAAAACTGTTAAGAATAAACAATTTATACATTATCGTGTGTTCATTTTACATTACTTTATCAGCATATCATATCAATTACTATGGTTATAAACCCAACAAACTGTCAAGCTAGTAAATAGTCTACGTATAACACAATGTAACAGCGAGATAAACAAAATAATCAATAAACTGAAATGTTTTTACATCCTATAAATTAATGAATATCTCTACACGAAAGCAAAGTGGCCTGGATAATTCTATTTCCAAGTTCACTTCTATGCACTGAATATTTTTAAAAACCTCTGGTTAATTATAAAAATTTAAAATTATCAGCTCCTACACAGTAAACTTTTTTTATTCTCCAAGTCAGAAAACATAACGCAACGTACTATTACATGTTGATACAAGTAATTTAACAACAAATATTTTATAAATCATTGATTTGTATCAATGAAAAACATAAAGAAGTAAGTGGTCTTAGAAAATAGATAGTTATTGAATGAGATAGACACAGAAAGTCTGAAACGAAATCTTGATTTTAATCAGAGGCTTACCATGATAGTATCATTGATCTTACTAACCACACACTAGGCAGCCATATAATTCGTTTATGAAAATACCTAGTGGCATAGCGAATTAGGGCTTGGTGTGGATTACAAAGTGTCATGGTAAAATATTAAAACCATGCTTTGAATACATTATTTGCACACGTTCCTTCAATTGTCCTTTACGTGGTTCATGATTCTTTCAATTCTGTTGTTAATACAACTGCTCTCTGTTTCCCTTCCTGTTCTCTCCAATTCATTCTTCTGCTGGCAGACATTCCACTTCCGATTGCTGCTGCACACTACTTATATTTGTCATCATAAGTAGCATACACTACACTCATGCCCTCTTTAAACGAAAGTTACTCTTGCGGTTGTTCCACTCTTTGTGACGCTTCCTCAGTCGGTGCCACGCCTTCCATCGAGACCTCTGTAGCAATGTCGACCTGCCGGGCCATCTACATCTTATGCCCACTCAGTAACCGGGACTTCCCACATTAGTACACGCCTACGACTCCACTAAGGAGCGAACCGAAGACCACTTCAGTATTAATTTTAAGTAGTGATCTCATGAGTTTCAGGGAAAAGACATGACCAATATAGTTCAACCATGTTTGATGTGAGTCGAATATCACTAGATGGAATAAACGAAAAATATCGTGAATTGATGTCAGAAATGTTAACCATTGGATCTCGACTCAGTAATATAAAGATTAAGGACTCAATGTAAGACTTGAAGGCCCTAAGTGAGTATTTCTGAGGATTCCTATAATAAGGTTAAACAACTGTCTAGTGCTTCCTGATTTTCAATGGTTGTCTAGCTGAGGCTAGTCCTCTCTGTAAACAATGAAATTATAACTGACTAATTTATACAACATAGAAAATATCTTTTAAGTATTATTTCTGGACGAACAGTATGATACGAAGAGAAACTTCAATTTAAATCCACTTTCGAAACGAACAAAGTTTTATTCGCAGGTGGCATCGGTTCATGTTAGATGTGAGATTGGTTCCATCACTAAATGATAAATGATATTGACGCATACCATGAATTGATTAAAGTTGGGAGTTCTGATCATAGGAACCTATCTCCGTAGTATAAATGTAACGTAATAGCAGTTAAACGTCAAGGTCTTTGATTGAGATCGTGAACCGATTGATGTTAGACCACCACTAGTTGAGTCATGGATACATATGGCTGAGCTTCAAACAAGGACAAAATACCTGTTTAGTACATCTTAATTTCTGGTGGTTCAAAAATTTGGGCCATTCTTTGACGAAAACCACGTAGACAAT